CAACGGCACATTTGACAGGAAAAACACATAATGTAACATGCATTATTACTAGGGTGTGCTAGTTTTTTAGGAATGCATGTTTTGTCCTGAGATAGTGTCTCCTCTGTGTAACAGACGCATTTAATTTGGCTTTACTTAATCATAGGTTAATGATAGTGACTGAACCAACATTTTCAGAAATGCGTCTGTTACACAGAGGAGACACTATCTCAGGACAAAACATGCATTCCTAAAAAACTAGCACACCCTAGTAATAATGCATGTTACATTATGTGTTTTTCCTGTCAAATGTGCCGTTGCATACAGTACAATAAAAGCACAATCCTGTTCCCATTAGAGTCCACAGCAAAAGTCCTACTGAGCTCAATGGAAACAAAATCAGACCCTAGACTTTAAAGTTAACACAACATAGGAATTTAAGTCAGCCAAAAATCTTAAACACTGATATTCAAACGAGCATTTTCTATCATTTGGAATGGTTTTGCTGAAACCCAAAGTTTATTTTTTTCTTATTTTTCTAAAAGATTTTTCAACAAACAGGGCAAATAAGAAAACATCTTACTTATAAAGGTTTCTTCCTCCTGGTTTTCCACCATGCTCATTACTTATATAGTATCTATAAAAACAAATATTTTGGTTGTAATAAGTTATTTTTGCTGTATTTATGAAAGTCAAAAAGAATCCTTTAAATATTGCTTAATTAACTACTATCAAAGGCCAGCATCCAATTTTATTTAGAGAAGTTTGTGTGATTCTGCCTAAGGAGGGTAAGTATATGAAGTATCTGTGCTGCTCACATTTATATTTGTCTAAACAAAGTATCACAAGAGATTTAAAGAAAATCAGAGAGATGTAGGAACTTAATATACATATCATGTCCAATGCAATGACATGATATAGGTGGCATTTCTGCTTGGTTTAGTATCTGCAGAAATTAATGTAAACTCCATGGAAGCCCCAGAGACTACATTTGTGAGTCATTCTACTCTGTCAGCGTCAGTCTCAGAAAGAAAATGTGCCATGCCAAGGGCATGCTTATACGTTACGTTATATTATGTATTAGTGCCGGGCACATACTTCTGTACGGTGCTTCTAACTTGTCTTTTGCTTTTAAGACAAAGGGCTAGGGACAGAAGTTACACATACACCAGTTTAAGTGATCAGAAACTGGTTTAAACCTGTAACAGAATAGAAGCTCAGTGCACTTAAACCAGTTTCAAAATGGCTGAAGCTAGTTTAAGATAAACCTGTTTGAATGTAGAATCAGACTTAACTAATTGGGTTAAACTGGTTTATGAAACTTCTGCCCCAGAACCCTTCCTGGTTCAAGTTAAATCAGAGTCCCCCAGCATCCCAGCATGCTTTCTGGCCCTGGGCTGGGCTGGGTTGTCTGCTCCAGAGACCAGGGCTGGCCCTGCCCCTCTGCTCCCTAGCTGGAGCAGTGAGGGCTGGCTGACAAGGGACTGGGGGAGAAGGGGGAATCTGGCTGGGGATGCAGCCCAGTCTGCAGAGGAGTAGGGACTGCCCCCTAGGCAAACCCCAGCTAGGGTGGGGTTTTAAACACCCCTTCCCTCACTCAAATGTACTGCTGCCTGCAACTGTTGACTACAAATCCCAGAGTCACCTAGAAGCAGGAAGAAGAAGTGATGAGCAAACCTGCAGAGTCCTACTGCTGAAATTCTGGACTACAAATCCCAGAGAACTCAGGGGCAGCAGGAAGACAAAGTAAACATAGCCAGAGAGCCATGCTCTAGCGCCCCCGGGCTTCTGGCCTGAGCCACTGCAGGCATGTAGCTACATTTCACATATTAAAGGTGAATGTTAGGGCTGTGCGAAGATTAGGTTGCCGATTTGAGTTGGAGGAGATTCGGCCTGTTTAAAAGGTCCGAACCAAATCCGAAGGCTCCAAATTGATTCAGAAAAGATTTGGAGAAATTTGGATCGGCTGGGGAGACGCAAGCACAGCCAGGCAGCTGCAGGTTCTCCCGTGGCTCCTCCAGTTGCTCTTGCTTTTCCCCAGGCGGGGGGAGCCTTGGGAATACTGTCTGGGAGCTGGGGCGGCTCCAGGAGTCAGCTGGAGCCCAGCACCACTTAGCCCCAGTGGCCCCAGCTCCCAGACAGCGCACAGCGCCCTGCTGAGCTGCACTGCACCCATGCCATGGGGCAGCTGTTGCATGGGTGCCAGGTAGGGGGGGCGATCCCCGCTTCCCCACACTGCACGGGGGGGCTCTCCCATGAGTGCCCAGATGCCTCAATCCCCACCGCTGCAGCCAGTGAGTGAGGGAATTTAAAAAAAGGGAAAAAAAGAAAAAGAAAAAAAAAAAGTCACTGAAGGCTTGTGGCAGAGCCCCCCCTGCACAGTGCAGGGCAGTGGGAATTGCCCCGAACCTGCCTGGCACCTGTGCAGCAGCTGCCCCATTGCATGGGTGCAGCGTGGCTTGGCAGGGCACCACGTGCTGTCTGGAAGCTAGGGCCGCTGGGGCTGAGTGGTGCTGACTGCTGGAGCTGCCCCAGCTCCCGGACAGGGTGCCGTGCCCTGCTGAGCCATACTGCACCCACATGATGCAACAGCTGCCGTATAGGTGCCAAGCGGGGGGTGGAGTTCTGCCATGACCCCTCAGAGGCCCCAATGGCCACTGCTGCAGCCAATAAGTGCAGGGCTGGGGCTTTATTTATTTATTTTTTTTGAAGTGCCGGGAGGCTGGGGCCAGGCAGGGGATGGGGCTGGGTAGGGCAGCCATGGGGGCTTCTCTCACGGCTCCCCCCACCCAGGGAGAGGCAAGCACAGCTGGAGGAGCTGCAGGAGAACCTGCAGCCACCCAGCTGTGCCTGCTTCTCCGTGGCCAATCCAAATCTCCGAATCAGCACTGAATCAGTGCCAAATCTCCGATTCCAATTCGACCAAATTGAATGAGGACAGTGATTTGCATCACCAAATTGAATCACTGTCCTCCGAATCAGCCATATCCGAATCTGAATCCAAATGGAATACTTCCCTATTCACATAGGCTTTAAATGTCTTTTCACTTCTGTTTCAGTTTAATCTGTGTAGCTAGACTAACCTGCAAAGATTTAATTGATTCAGCCTCAGGCTTTTTGACTGCCTGTACCTAGCCCAGGAAGCTATCTATACCATAACTTTATCTTCATAAAAAACAATAAAACAAACTCCCATTATACATCTTGGTCTCTAGGCTTACGCTTATTTCTTTGATAGATGATACCCATGTAAAGACGCAACTATGATTTGTATGTCTATGAAACAAAAAAAAGGTGAGATTGTAGCACATGGCTGCAATACTTGTGCTAGCTGGCACAAATAACAATGGCAGTGAAGATGTGGTGGCACAGACCTTAATACAGGCTAGCGACCAGAATGGTCCCTTGAAAATATGCACTGTGGTTGTACACATAAAAATACCCATCCTACCATGTCTTCAGCGCTATTGTTATCCATACTAGCTAAATTAAACTAGCATATGCTACAATCACACTATTTTTTCTGTGGAGACATACACCAATGTAGTAAATATAGAAATCGTACTGTAATTTTAAATGTCTAAGGGTATGGATAAGAATCTCATAGGATTTACAAAAACACCTAGGTGTCTTAGGTGCTTACTTCCTGTTGAAATCAAAAAGGAGTTAGGCGAGTACCCTAGGTAAGCATGTTCAAAAACCCCCATAAGAAACTTCTCTGTATCTTTAAGCACTTAAATCTCTTTGAAAATTGGGTCCTTGGTCTCAAGCTTAGCTTCTAAAATAGTTTTTATATGGTTTACCCTTGAAGCCGTTTTAGTCTCCTTCTGATAAAACAGAGAAAGATCACCCCAGGCAACTTGCAACTTTGCCACTTGGTACTCTAACTTGTATTTTATACCTAGTTTTTTGTATGTGCAAGAAAACTTGTAAGTGCATAAAATGAACATCTTCCACATTATTTTACTTATTTGTAAGATTGTCCCAAGTGCTTGTGCTTTAATTAAAAAATCTAATTTATCTACAAACAAGAAACTATATTTTAGTGTATAAGCTATTTTTGTACAATTGCTTTATCAAAATACATGTGAAAGGTGGCTTCAATGGGAAATGTGCATTACCTAAACATGGGCAGACAAGGTTCTTTGGGTAAATGGGATATCTTTTATTAGACCAACTGAATGGTTGGAAACATTGTTTTGCAAGATTTTGGGCACAAACACCCTTCTTCAGGCATAGGGAGAGTCTGCTGGTGTTTTGTGTTCTCCTGGATGGAATAGAAGCCAATATGCAAAATTCAGGTCTGTGAAAACGCAAATACGTGGCACTGAGGATCAGAGGCCATGGGAGATGACAATAGGTGTGATAGGTAGGTGAGATGGGAGAAAGGGAAGAATGCTGACCTGGTAGCTGGTAAAATGTAGAGAGGTTACCTCAAGTTACTGGATGGTAGACAGGTTATAATGTGCCATAAATCCAATGTCTATATTTAGTCCTGAAGATTTACCTAAACATGAACTTTCCTATTTTTAACTTCACCACCAAGGACAATAATTTATCTAATAGTCAATCACTAATACTAAAGGTCAAATCCTTTTCCATTTATTAAATGTACTAGTAATACTTACTCCACCCTGCCTGAATGCCTGGAAAGTCATTAACGCATCCAATATTGTTTATCTTAGAATTAAAACAAAGTCACAAAAAGTGTCCGGAAGCAGGAAGAGGATGGATCCACCCACCTTTTGCATAACTTTTGGTCAAGGAATTGATGATCATACTTAGATATTTCAGTACCATTTCAGTACCTATGAGCTGAGGTAGGCTCTGCCCTAGTATGCTATCATTTAGAATAAAAGGCCTGCACAGTCATCAGCACACCCACTATGTTTGGCTCAACCATCTCCCACCTCTGCATTGTCATCCTCATCTACCCAGAACTCATGATGATGAGGGAATTATAATGTAAATCTTTACTATGCTAAACACACATGTACACATCCAGAGCCGACCTTAAGGAAGATAGTGCCCTGGGTGAACTTGTATTTTGACACCACTCCCTGGCACCCCCCTCCACAGTGCCCTTTCCTCCCTCCCCCAAGTTAGCAGCACTGCTGCAGGCAGAGGAAGGCAGGCAGGGGTGCACGGTGCAGTCTGGCAGGGAGGCAGAGCAGCATAGTGTGCTAGGCAAGTGAGCATACAGGCACCACTGCTGCTGCCTGCACTGCCTGGCCCAGCTCCTCTTGAGCAGTGGCTGGAGGCAGGGGTGCAGCTGGGCTGGGCACCACTCCTCCTGCCTGGGGCAGGTATTGGCCAAGGTACAGAATGGGGGAGAACACTGCTGTGAGCATGGGCTGCTCACACTTGTTTGTGCGTGAGTGTGATGCTCCCCAAGCGGACCACAGTGCCCACCCCTAAGACCAGCTCTTCAAGGAAGGACTTGACAGAGGTTAAGCAGGCAGTGCACTGAGGCTGATGTCTCTCACGGTGTTCAACTCCTTTCTCTGTCTCTACTGCAGCTTGGGTTCAGTTCTCTCCCTTGCCCCTGTTTACCTCCACAGACTAAATGGAATTATACCTGATTTATGCTGATGTGAGGAGAGGTGAAGCATGCTCTTAATGGTAGATACTGCACATACTATTTCTGTGAGTATTCCCAAATTCTTGGTAGTCATGAACAGAAAAAGAATAATTTTACCTTGAGTTTATGTTCAAGAGGGCTGGTTTTCACAAAGGCAGATCATACAGTAAGCAGGAAGGAATGCATCCTTTTTAATTATTAATTAAGGTGACTTTTGTCCCTTGCACAGTAACAGGTTTCTTTTATACAACATGATACCCAAAATGTCTCTGAAAAGCCTACCTGATTCAAATACTAAGAACATACTGAAATAAAATGTGAATTTGTTCACAAAACCATAGCAATCAAAGTAAATCCAAAAGAGCTTTTCTTACAAAAGAAAGAAAGAAAGAAAATCCAGATGCAACCCTTAATTACTGTCAAGACAGTAACATAGAGTAACCTTTGCAGTACACTGCAGTTCCTGGCCTGTAGGTGGAGAAAGGTCATAACATTTCAGAGAAACATTGAGATATTTAATAATATTTTAAAGAAAAATATATTTATTTAAAAGAAAATTAAAAGGCTATTTTTCTAGTGGTAAGAATTTCAGGGAAATGAATGCCTACCCATGGCTGGAGACAGAGACAAAACCAAACTACAAAGTTCAGAACTGCATGTATGTAGTACAAGGTCTGCTAACACAAATAAAATGAAAGGTGCAATGGGATCTGATGCATGGTCCTAATAATTGTGCTTCCTGCCATGCCATGTGCACAGTAGATGTGACTGTGCGACTGAGTATCAGATCCCATCACATTGTGTTGCTGGTGCAGAAGGAGCCTGGGATCATGTTCCTGCTCCCCCCTGCACCGGCAAGCAGCAAGCTGGGTTCCCTGTGCTCCCCCTGCTGCGAGCCCTAGTCAGCTGATTGGGGGTCCCCTGGCTAGAAGTGCTGGTCAGCTGATTGTGGCTCTCAGCCATGGGAGTGCACTTGCCCTTCTGTGGCTGGAAGCCCTGATCAGGTGATTGAAGCTTCCAGCCGGTAGACTGTAAAAGGCTTAATACACTCCTCTGGCTGGGAGCTCCAGTCAGCTGATAGGTGCTCCCAGCTGAGGGAGCACAGGGAGAGAAGGGCTTCATGTACTCCTCCAGCTGGGAGCCCTGATCCAGCTGGTGTTCCCAGCCTCTGAAGCATACAAGAGTCTTGAAGGACTCTGGTGTGCTCTGGAGGCTTGAAGTGCTGGCCACACATTCAATTAAAGGCATGATGGGAACTAGGCACAAAGTTATTACACATATTTTATTTAATAACTTTTTAGCTTATTCCTAGTTTTGTCACACAATTAACTGAATGCAAGTGTGGCTGGGTCACTACTTAAGATGTGCTTAACTGGTTAATAATGTCTTAAGTGTAATGTCTGTCAGGGGCCAGTTATTCCCCCAAACTTTAGAAGTATTTGGATCCAAAGTCTTGGTTTGGACACCATTTATGTGTATGTGTATGTGTGTGTGGGGGTACAAACAAGTGACTGAATCCTTTGTGTTCCACTAAAATCTTAATGAATACCCCACCTCTTCCTGAAACTGAACACAAATGGATGTCTCTCACTGCCCATTTGCTAAGAGCTGGATTTCAAAAGTATTTTTAAGGTGTCTAAAAAGATGCAGATAAACATCTCATGAGATTTACGAAGTGCTCAAACCACTTAGGTGCCCAAGTCCCATTGGTTTCAACCTGCTTAGGGTAGATTATACTTGATATGTTTGAGAGGACTTAAAGCTAATTTGCTGCTCTCAAGATACTCACAGGAAGTCTTTGGTTACAGCTTCTATGCTGATCACTTCCCATTTTCCTTTTGTGATAGGTGTTACAAGCTAAAATAAAGGGAGAACAAAGTGGAAATGTAAATTCCATGCTGACCAGGAAAAATATCAGTCAGCAGTGACTTCTAGGAGTTATTATTATTACTCACCCTTGAGCCATTTATATAATGGATGTGTTTGTAGCCATCTGAATTGCTGAACACCTTGTAGTAGCTAGAATTGTCAAGTGCAAAGTAAGGGGTAGATGGCTGAAACTGAAACACATGGCACAGCTATTAGAGCAAACAACAGAAACCCAAGGACAAATACTAACTCTACTTTAACTAACTTTGTAAATCCAATCATGAAGGCCTTTAACATTTGTTCTGTGCACCTCAGCAAATATGCTGCACAATACTTTATCAATTCAAGGTGTTAAATCCGGGTGTTAAGCATGAGAAACTGGTGGCTGTCTTTTGAAAAGTAAATATTCCCAAGTTATTGTTTTGCTGCTCTAGCAACAAAATTTCCCTGTGACCTGCAATGCATGAGCTTTCTCCTCCTTTCAGATAAAAGGCCTCCATGCATTACTAATTCTCTTGTCACTTTAGACAAAATATCTGCCTGTCCCTCCCTCCATCCAGCTTCTAGTGGAGCTTACCATCCAACTGGACAATACAATTATAGAAAAATAAAGATGAAAGGGAGCTCACAAAGTCACTTAGTCCAGCTCCCCGTTCAAGTCAGGATCATCCCTGACTAAGCCAACACAGCTAAGTGCCTGTCCAAACAACTCTTGAAAATTTTCAGGAATGGAGATTGCACAACTTCTCTAGGTAGCCTGTTCCAATGCTTGACCACCCTCAGTCAGAAATTTCCACCTAATCTCCAATTTAAATTTCTCCCACTGCACCTTGAGGCCCTTACTCCTAGTCCCATCCCCTACAGTTACAGAGAAAAGTCCATCTCCATCCTCTATAATAACCCTTCAGGTATTTGAAGACTGTTATCAAATTCCCTGTCAGTCTTCTCTTCTCCAGACTAACTCTCAGGGTTGTTGGTTGTAGCTGTGTTGGTCTACGGCAGGGACAGGCAATTACTTTGGGCAGAGGGCTGCTTACTGAGTTTTGGCAAGCCATCAAGGGCCACATGACAAGCAGCCCAGGGCATATAAATATAAATTTTCTAAATTTTTTTAGGGGCCCCACAGGCCAGATAGAATGGTTTGGTGGGCTATATTTTGCCCACCCCTGGTCTAAGGACATAGGCCAACAAGATTCTTTGGGCAGATGAGATAACTTTTATTAGACCAAGTAAATACTTGGAAAAATTATTCTTCGCAAGCTTTTGCACACAAACACCCTTCTTCAGGCATTCAGCTGACTCTCTCCAATGCCTGAAGAAGGGAGTTGGTGCCCGAAAGCTTGCAAAGAACAATTTTTCCCAACTATTTAGTTGGTCTAATAAAGGATATCACATTTACCCAAAGAACTTTGTCTGCCAGACTAACTCTGACTCTTTCAGCCCTTCCTCATAAATCATGCATACACTTCTTGAAGTGTGGGGCCCAAAACTGGGTACAGTACTTTAGGTAAGACCTCACCAGTGCTGAAGAGAGCAATGGAATCACTTCCCTTGATTTACATGTGATACTCCTGTTAACACAAACCAGTATGCTGTTGGACTTTTGGCACGAGGACACACTGCTGGTTCATATTTAGTTTATGGTTTACTGTAATCCCAAGGCCCTTCTCTTCAGTACTGGTCATTCCCTCATCTGTGTATAGGTACATAAATATTCTGTCCCAGGTAAAAGACTTTGTACTTCTTATTCAGTTTCATCTGCTTGGTTATGGACCATTTTTCCAGTCTACCCAGGTTATTCTGGATCCCAGACCTGCTCTCCAGAGTAGGATAGAACAGAATACTGTGCATCATTCTAACACAGCTCTGTAAACTAGAGATTAAACATGCTTGAATTTTGTTTATGAATTTTATAACAATTCACTATTATTTTGGTGTTTTACACATTTTTCAGCTAAACTGAAGATATGTCCTGCAGAGCTTGGATTAGAACTCAAGACTTTTCAGTCCCTGGCTGCACTTCTCCAGTCCATACTACCGCCTCAAAAGATATATTTGCTTAGTATCATGAAAAAATATTTCCTTAGTTTCTCAGAACCCTGTTGCAACCTTACTTTACCTAGCTCTGATTTTTTGCCCAACTAGTAAGGACTTAGATTTTGACTAGTTATCACCTGGAAACTCAAGAGTTTAATGAAGTCCTAAATGACCTTGAATTCATCTAGTTCTTCTCTGGTGGTCAAAAAAGTAACTGTAAGCATTTTAATCAGTGTCCTTTTATTTTTCCCTGGCCAAGGACAATGAGAGAAAATATCTTACTGTGGAATGAAAAATACCTCCCTCTCCTCTCTCTTTCACACACATACACATGCATGCATGCCCAGTCTCAGTGTTAATAATTGTCATCTTGACTTTGACCTTTTTAAACAGTTAAGATGTGACATAAAAAACCCCCTCAAACCTGCCAGTTTAATGGCACAAAGTCTCCCATTTTGCCCTCTTGCTTTCCACAACTGTTTACAAAAGTTTGCAACTTGATCATCACATTGTCTATTTGTGGAGCCTTTGCTATGTCAAAGCAAAATGTGTCAGAACGAGGGCCTTCCTTTCCACATCAAATCTGACAGCCAGTGGGATGATCTCTCATCTTTGTACTGCGGGTGATTTCATCCCTGCTGTTTCCTCCCTCATTGCATTTTTTAAAACTTTCCTTTTTGACTTCAAAACTAAAGTAGTGACTAAAGCAGAAAATGTAAGAAGAATGCAGGTATGTAGAGCATACTCCATGTTCTCACCACAAACTCTGAAACATACTTTTGTCTCCTGATCTGGTCTTTTGGGTCCATCCTTCACTTCCCCAGATCCTCTATGTAGCTCTTTCGGACCGTCCCCACAAACACAAATGTGTGTTTTCCTGGGGACAATGTGTACAGTTCTATTTGTCCCTGGGGGACGCCCATGCCATGTGCGACTATGCTGGCCCCAGCAGCCTTACCTGGAGTTCTGGGGGCCTCCAGGAGCTGTAGCTGTGGTGATCCTGCAGCAAGGAGCCTGGCTGGTAGCTGAAGCATGGCTCCAGCTGGCCAGGCTCTGATTTGGGGCAACTTGTACTGCCAC